GGTGGCCGCGGCGCTGGCAACGCCGCCCAGCTTGCAGCGATGCTGGCGCTGGAGAAGGTCGGCGTCTCCAAGGGATGAGCGCGCCTTGGGCGACTTCCTCTTCGATGGCGCGGCCTCGAGCTCTCGAGAGGCGAGCCCGGAGGCCAGGGCCAAGGGTGCAAAGGGGGCAGCGGGGCTCCCGGCGCTGATCGGGGCCGTCGAGCGCGAGCCGCAGAAGTGGTCTGCCTGCGCCTCCGCGACGGCGGGCGGATCGCCCGCGGTCGGCGCCCCCCCCCCCCCCCCTCAGATCGAATCGTGGAGGGCGTCTGCGCGGGCGATCGCGCGGTCGCTGGCCTCCGCGATGACCCTGCTGCCTTGGGCCCGACGCGGCGGGCATATCGCCCGCGAGTCTGGCGAGGGCGCCGGGCTGCCGCTCGCGTGGGCATCGGGGGACAGGATGAAAAGGCAGCCCCAGTCCAGCCCCGCGGGGTCGTCTAGAGGAGGGGATCTCTTCAGCGCGCTTCGTTGTCGGCGGGGGGGGGGGGGGGGGGGCGTGCATCTCGGAGCGTGGTCGCCGCGTGCGTCGTCATCGTCGGGGCCGTGTCGGTTGTTCTCGTGAGGAGGCTGGTCGGGCGCTGCGTCCGCCGTCTTGTGCGTCGCCGGGCCGCCGTGCGTCTCGTGGGCAATCTCTACGCGCGGCTTCGCGCGCCCGGCGCGGGCTTCGCGGCGCGGCGCCGGCTGGCGAGTCCAGTGATCGATGAGCTGATGGGGCTGGTCCTCTTGTCCCCCTTGTTGTGGAGCTCGCAGCTCGCCCGACTCCGCGGCGGCGGAATGCGTCTTCGCCTCGGATGCCGCCCTCCTTGTCGGCGGAATCGCGTCTGCCTCGCTCAGCGCGGAAGAGGTGGGCCGGCGTCGGGCGCGGGCCTCTCGACGGACTGGCGCGGTGGGGCTCGAACCTCTTGGGCCCCCAGATCCCAGCGAGCCTGTCGAGGTCCTGGGGGGCAGGGTCTTGGGCGACTCCCTGCTCCACTGCTGGATACGGTCCAAACAGTTTATCGCCCTGCTGTGCTTCTGGTTCTAGGGCCGGCGTCGCGCTATTGCGCACGGGGCCGTCGCCCTTGCGTCGCTGGCCAAGCGCGCGGTCAAGGGCCCGACCGCCCGTGGTAAACGTATCCCAGTGTTCATGGACTCGCAGCGCGTGGCATTGCCGTCCGGGGGCGGTCGTCCAGCAGGGTCTTTAACATGATCTTCGCCATGACATTCCTGTTTGTGCTGTTCGCAGGGTGCCCCCTCCTTTCCTTCTGGGCGTGGGGCGCCCGCGATCCTGCAGGCGGCCCAACGAGAGGTGCCGAGACGTGCAAGGCCAGGCCGCGCCCTCCCGAGGTGGCGGAGTCGATTGCCGCCGTCGAGAAGTTCTGGGACTGGGCCGTGAGCGCGCGTCGCCCCCAGAGCGACGCATCGACTGCCCGTCTTCTGCCCGTCTTCTTCGACGCCTTCAGGGGGCCGAAAGCCCCCTGGAGCGCGGCCCCTGAGCGCCGCGGCTGGATCGTCATCGGCCGCGACGCGCTGCGCAGGCCTCTCGAGGGCCTCGCCGATCCCGGCGTGCTCGCCCAGGCGATCGAGCTCATCGTGAGGATCAGGCCGGCGGCGGCCGCCCGGGGGGGCCCCTGCGGGACCTGCTCGCGATTCGTGATTTGTGCTCGCGGTCCACTCGGACTCGCCGGTGGCCGCGGGGGCCGCGGCGGCGCCCCGGGGGGATCTTGGGCGAGAACTGGGTGGATGCCAGGCTGGCGCTCGCGAGCTCTTGGAGGCCCTCAGCGCGGGGCCGCGCTACAGGCGCGTCATGGGATGGCGCGCGCGGGGCGGGCGTTGGCGCGAGGCGACCGCTTGGAGGGCGCGGCGGGCGGCCCTGCCCCTGCCGGCCCAGCGCCGCGACCGCGGCCGCCGGCGCGTCGCCCTGGCGGGCGGCATCAAGTGCGGGGGCGGCGTCTGGCGGCGCCCGACGAAGGCGGCGAGTATTCCGTCGAGTGGCGCGATGCGGTGCCCGAACAGCTCGACGCGTGCTGCCGCGCGCCGCGCTGCGGGTGCTCCTCGGGGTCTTCTGTAACTGGTTGGGATTTCCAGGAGAAGGCCCGCCCGCGCGCCTGGGCGCAGTCTCGCGGCGCGCGGCTTCGCGGGCCGGGCGGGGCCTCCGGGTGACAGTCGAGCCGGCCGCTGCTCGTTGGTATAATATCATCGTGCTCCACCAGTGGAGCCAGCGGCTCCAGGCTCGAGGGCTGCCCCGCCCCGACGTCGTCGCGCGTGATATTGAGCTGTTCAACGGCGCCCTCGTTTCAGGAGGGACAAAAACACACAGACACAATGAATCGTCGATTCCCCAGATAGCAGGGGAAAGTACGGGAAGTGGGGGGGGGGGCAGAAACCCAGAACATATATTGGGTTTGTCTGGGGGTCAGAGACGGGGGTCGTCTGTAGGAATGGCCCCAGGGGGGGCAAGGAGGGCGATTAAGACGGAAATCCGCCTTCGTCTTGGTGTGGAAGTTTTTTGGGTCAACTTGTCGTTTTGTTGTTTGGTTTTGTTCAGCCGTGCCTCTGGATTCCCCGTTCCCTATATGCACTTGGCAGCGTCATTTGTTCTACGTTTTGCAGCGCGCGTCGGTCTCCGGGGCGGGTTGTTCGACGGGTTGGGCGTGGTTTTCGGCTTCGACTTGCGCCCGAGGGCGTCGGTTCTCGGCCTTGGTTTCGCCGCTGTGTCTTGCAATGTACGTCGGTTTTCGGCTCAGTCACGATCTTCAGCTTCGGTCTTGCGATGCCGTCGGTCCGCGGCCTCGGCTTTAGTCATAAAGCGTCGAAAGTTGGTCTCGGCTTGGCGACGGGGGTGGCGTTTCTGATTTCCTGCATTTGCCGTGCGCCATCACTCGCCGACAGCGCTGTTTCCCGTGGGTCCCGCGACGCGTGGTTCGTTTTATGGTGCAGTGGCGGGGGGCTTGGGTTTTGTGCGCCTGGTCGAGCGGCACTCGGTGCCATTGTCCTCTGAACCGCAGATCACACGAACACGCGCATGTCCGTATAAGTGGTGTTTCAAACCACGCAGCGCGAAGCACACGCACATTCAAAGTTTCCAACACAAACTTCGATGTCACACACTGTTTGCGAGGGGGGGCGAGCTACACAGCCAAATGGTACGGGCGAACGTTCGGACAATAGCACCGCGTGCGCGTCGCCGAGTGTGCGTTCACATTACCTCCAGCTGCCTGCAGCAAGTCCCGCCCCCGAGCGAATCCAGCACTTTGGGTGGCGACTACTCGGATGTTGCCGATGATGGTGATGCTGCTGGTGGTGATGATGACGATGACGATGGTGATGCTGCTGATGGCGATGATGCGGCTGATGGGCATTATGGTGAAGATGGTGACGATGATGATTGTTATGATGATGGCGGCGAGGACGGCGATGATGACGTGAAGGAGGAGGGAGAGGAATGTTGTCACATGCGTCGCCTTGTGGCTCCACTTCTCGCGTAGCTTTCATGGGGCTCATTTGGGCCGCATCAGGGCTGCCTTGGGCTCCTGTGGGGCAGTCTCGTGGGCTCCTTGCCGTCGTCTTGGGTTGCGTCGGGTTCATCTTGAGCCGTCTTTGGGTTCTCGTGGGCCGTTTTGGGGCCTTTTGGGCCGTCTGGGTTTCTTTTGGTGACCTCGTGGGGGCGTCTTGGGGTCGTATGGGGCCGTCGACGGTCGAGGGGCCCGTCCAGGCCGTCTTGGATTCTCCCGGCTGCCCTCGTAGGCTGGTTTCAGGCTCTCTCTTAGGGCCGTCGTGTGCCGTCAGGGGCCCGCGTGGGCCTGGCCGAGGCCATCTTGAACGCTTCCTGGCTCGTTTGGGGGGCCTCTTGGGGCGTCGTGAGGCCATGGTGGAGCCTCCTGGGGTCGTATTGCGCTAACGGAGGCCTGGAAATGTTTGAACCACCAAATCAATGAAACACCAAAGCAACATGAATTAGCATTGCCTTTTCGGGTCTTTCGGGGGTCCTCTTGGAGCTATACTGGGCCGTCTCGGGGGCTTGTACCAACCACCTTAGGCCCTTTTGGGCCTATACGGGTGCATCTTGGGTTGTTTCGGAGGCCGTCTCAGAGAGAACCGTGGGCCATCTTGGTACCCTCGGTGGCTTTCCTGGGCCGTCGTGGAAGATTTGGAGAGCCCTGGGGAGCTCCCGTGGCCGCCCAAGGACCTTTTGAATGGGGGGCGGCGCATGGGAAAGTATGTGACGGGTCGCGGTCGTGGGCGTGTGTCATTCGACGATCGGGTAGACCATACCAGACAGCACGTGGCATCCTTGCGTTCCGCTATCGCGGAGGCACCGTCGCGGTGGACCCTCTTCATTCAGCGACAAGAGTGGCTGTGCCACTGGGGCCATCGGCGTGGGGCGTTGCACATATGACGGGCACGATGCAACCTGGGGGGGCTCGATTCGCTCTGTACCCAGGGGGCGAAGTGTAGGAAACAAGTAGGGCCAACGAAAACCGAACACATTGCCCAACTATCAAGAGAGAGTATCTGGTGCCTCTCCTTTTTTCCCCGCGCCCATGTTGGCTCAAATTTCCTGGTGCGGGCTTCCGAGTGCCAGAGTAGATGTCTCGTATGGTTTTTTTCACACGTGCCGAGACTGTTCCCTAACCTTCGCATGTTGCCTGCTGCAGGTGGGGCTGCTCCTGCCGGCTACGATGACGAACAGATTGTTGTGCCGGAACCTTTGGAAGAGCCAGCAGAGCTGGGGCCCCGGAAAGTTAAGCACCCGCGTCGGAGTGACGCTCAGATGCAGCATTGCAGAGCAGAGAAGCGGAGGAAGCACGACGATGCAAAGATTAGAGAGTTAAAGGCAGAGAACAAGCGGAATGAGGCCGCGATGGGGGCTGTCGTGAGGAGCTTGCCGGAGGCAGCCAAATTGATCGGCACGAGTCCTCGGCAAGGCATTGGTGCGAGGAAAAAAAACTACACCATCAGATTTTGTTGTGGTTACTCGCGGCATGCACTTGCCTACCAAAAGTAGACTGTTGTTGGGGGTCAAACACAAAAGATTAGTATGCGCAGCATCCCGCCTTATACTTACCAGGCAAGCGAATGGCATGCGACGTCTACTCAAGGCAGGCGGTTGCGTTCTCTCGCTGAGGAGGGCTTCGGCACGGGTTCATGTTTCGTATGCACACATGTGGGATGAGGTCAACGCGAAGTTCGCCCCGCCTCGCACCCACAAGCGTCGCAAAGTTCGGAGTGCCCAGAATATGCAGACCATCGTCCAACGAGGCCTCGTGAATGTATTATTGATGGATTTGCGATTGGGTAAGTCCGTCAAGCACATCGAGCCATGGGTGTGCAAACCGAAGAAGGTCAGAGCCACATCTGCAGAGGCGATTTTCCCAGCCATCGTCGACGCGATGCCCGGATGTTTCAACCCGCTCAGCTTGGAGGCCCTCGTGGGCGCGGCGAAGGGCGCCAGCTCCTTCACTCTTTGTTTGGTGTGCGATCGTGCATCTTCGAACTTATTGGTGTTGAAGCGCGTTGCGAAGTTCTGGGAAGTCGTTGTTCTACCGCTAATCGGGCCCAGAATGTTATTAATGTTGGAGACTTGCACCGTCCACAGCCACCACAGGGCGAAACTTCAGATCAAAACGTTGCGACACCACGTCCTTCGTCATTTCTCGTTGGCCAATTTGTACAGGTTACAATCAGTGCAGGAAAAAACAGCCAGCCGATATGAAGCGATGTTACCGCCGATGGTGCATCGAAAGATTGGCCCCCCTCCTGATAATGTGCGGTACCCTTTGAAGCGATTCGTCGATATAGTTTTTCGCCCCCGAGAGCCACGCCACAGACGCAAAGATGGAGCCCCCACTCAGCAGACATTAGATTTGGATGAGTTGTGCAATATATGCAATTCAGACTTGAAAGGTGATTGGACGCACTACTGTTGGGATCCAATTCGCCAGAAACCATGTTGCAGCAATTTGTCTGAAACACGCGATAAAGTTCTGAGGGCTACGATGAATGCATTGGAGGGCAGGGGCCAACCTTTGCCGTCAGAGTCGAGGTGGACGAACACAACTCCGAATTTCCGACGAACGTTGTTGAGGCAGGCCGTCTGGGGCATCGGCACTAGGTGTTTTGGCGTGGACCCACCTGATGGCAGCAGCGCCGACAGACCCGTGCACGTGGAAGGGGAGGCTGCCGAGGGGCATTTCGCGCAGATTCGCCACGCTTCGCGTGCCCCCACCAGCCTACCACGCCCTCTGGACTGTTCCTTTCGGGCCGCAGATCCCCAAAACATGCGACCACCAGCGGCCCCGTTTTTTTCCGCGCCAGCCTGCTGTAGTGTGGCGTCCGCCCTGCTTGCGTGAGCCTGGCCATCGTTCGACCCCTTGGCGCCGCGCGGCTGCCCGCCTGCGGTCGCGGACAAAAAAAGGCCCCGCCAGCCCATTCAGAAACCCAGCGCATGGGAGTTGACGGGAAAATGAGCTCGGAGGCACATCTAGGGAAACAGAGCGAGCGACCAGGGTGAACGGAGAGACCTTTGGGAGCAAGGGGCGCGGCCTTGGAAAGGCCTCTTCGGGCCGCCCCTGGGGGCCGCGCGGGGGCGAGGGGGGGAAGGGGGGCAGGGGGGGGAAGGGGGGCAGGGAGGGGGGGGGTGGGGAGAGGGGGGGGGGGAGGGAGGAGAGGAGGAGGAGGAGGAGGAGGAGGAGGAGGGAGGAAGGAGGAGAGGAGGAGGAAGGAGGAGGAGGAAAAGGAGGAGGAGGAGGAGGGAGGAGGAGGAGGAGGAGGAGGGGGAGGAGGAGGGGGAGGAGGAGGGGGAGGAGGAGGAGGAGGAGAGGGAGGAGGAGGAGGAGGAGGGAGGAGAGGAGGAGAGGAGGAGGAGGAGGAGGGAGGAGAGAGGAGGAGGAGGGAGGAGGGAGAGGGGGAGGGGGGGGGGGGGGAGAGGGCGGGGGGGGGGAGGGGAGGGGGAGAGGAGGAGGAGGAGGAGACAGGAGGAGGAGGAGGAGAGGAGGAGGAGAGGAGGAGGAGGAGGAGGAGGAGGAGGAGGAGGAGGAGGAGGAGGAGGAGGAGGAGGAGGAGGAGGAGGGGGAGGGGGAGGGGGAGGGGAGGGGGAGGGGGAGGGGGAGGGGGAGGAGGAGGAGGAGGAGGAGGAGGAGGAGGAGGAGGAGGAGGAGGAGGAGGAGGAGGAGGAGGAGGGCGAGGACGAGGACGAGGACGAGGACGAGGACGAGGAGGGCGAGGACGCGGACGAAGACGAGGACGAGGGCGAGGAGGAGGGCTCGGATGAGGACGACGTGGGCGAGGACCCACGGAACCATCTAGGGGTATTATTGCGGTTGTTGTAGTTGTTGGTGCTCCTTTGGGCTTCTGGGGGGCCCTATTGAAACCCTCTTGGTAACCCTGGAAGGCTTCTTGGGCTCACCTTGGCGGCTATCGATTACAGGATGGGGAGGGGGATGGGGGGGGGGGCAAGTCAGCCCCACCCCCCCCATCAGGAGCCCGCGAACCGCTTCTTGGGGCTCTCTTGGGGCGCTCCTGGGCGCTCATGGAGCGGTCTCGGGGCCGTTTGGCGCATCTTGGGGGCCATCTTGGGCCAACTTGGGCTATTTAAACCATTTTGGATGTCACTCTGGGCTCTCTGGGGCCGCTCGGGGGCCTCTTGGTGGCCTCTCGGGTGCCTCTTGGGGCTCTCTCTGGGCCCTCTTGAAGCTCTCGTGTGGCTTTCTTGCGGCTCTCTTGGGGGCCCTGGGGCGCTTCTTGGGGCCATCTTCGAGATTATCGATCAAAAAGGAATCCCGATCGGCCACCCCCCTCGGGGGCCACGGTCCTCGTGAAGGGTGTCAAAAGTTGGCCCTCACAGGAGCAGAAAAAACCCTCCAACCACCCGCGGCCCCCCGCAAGAAAAAATCCTGGGGAAGGGGGTAGGGATAGGGGTAACACCCGCCCCGAAGGGGAAGAGGATTTTTCGGGGAATGGGGGAGCTCTACACTGTTAGACCACCTACGCCCAGAGGGTCGGTGGGATTCTCAACGCTTCGTGCGCCCGAAGCTGTTCGCCCACAGGCGATGCCCACGCGAATTGCATGTATGGGGGAAGCGCAAGAACACGCAGTGGAACAAAAAAGGCCAGCCGTCACGGTGGGAAGGGGGAGGGAGGACGAGGAGATTGATGAAGAAAAGGGGAGGAATGAGACGGAGGAGGAAAGCAGTTGAGGAATAGGTGAGAGGAGGAGGAGGAGGAGGAGGAGGAGGAGGAGGAGGAGGAGGAGGAAGAGGAGGAGGAGCAGCAGCAGGAGCAGCAGGAGGAGAAGGAGGCGCAGGAGTAAAAAGAGGATAAAACGACGACGGCGGTTTTTTTAGGCTGATTGGATCCATATTGGGGCCCTCTGGGGGCCGCTTCCGAAGACGCGACAGCGCGTGAGCGACGAGAAATTTCAAGTTAAATTTATGTTTTCGGGTACTGTGCAACAGCGACGGCCGTACCCCCTTAAATTCCCGAACCCTTGTAACTCCCGTTCCCCCTAAATTGCCGTCGGTTTCTCCGACGTTCGGCGGCCCGCTTTCTCGGACAGTGCGCGCGCGCAAGGCGGCCTCGGCAGATGGCAGTCGACCCCGCGCCCTCTGAAGTTCTGGAGGCCCCCATTTAGACCCCCGCGCCCTTGTAAGCGCACCCGCGCGTCCGAATTCAATCGCAAAACGCCGTGCCCACTTAAATGTCCGTACCCCCTTGGTTTCCCGTACCCCCTTGAATTCCCGTCGGTCTCTGAAGCATTCGGCGGCCCGTCGGGCGAGAGACGCACTCTGACTGGAAGCTGACCGCCTGGCGGGACCACGGGGTGAGTTGCCGGCCATCGGTAAAGTATTGGGCCGCGCTCGCTTCCTTGCCGCGCCCCTGCCCATCGGCAGTGGAAGCGTTGCCGCCTGGGGCGCTTTAGGGCGCCTTTTGGGGCCGCCTCGGGACATGTTTGGCCCTTTTTGGGGTGATTGTGATACCTCAAAAACTAGCGAGGAACTAACTTACGAAACCGCAAAACGGTTTGCGTTGCATTGGGTTTTCAATTTTTTGTCGCGTTCCCGCGGGCGTCCGCGGGAGGCCCCGTGGCCAATGGGGGCCGTTTTGGGGCGGGCGCGGGGCTCTTGGAGGCATCTTGGAAACTGTGTCATATTTGGCCAGTTTCTGTCATTTTGGAGGGGCATATCGGGCCACGTGGGGCCATCTTCGGGCACCCGCGGGCCACGTTGGATGCCAAACTGTTCGCGCCCCTTCCCAGACCCAAGGGGACTGGGGATGGGGGTGGCGAATCCGCCCCCCTAAGGGAAGGATCGATCCAGCGTGCCACTCATGCTCAAATTGGGCTGGTAGGATCCGATCCACGCGTGTTTCTCGGGGCATTGAGTACTATTCCAAGGCTGAGACATTCCACGAACTCGCTGTGTTGCTCATCGTCGTCGACGTTATCGACAGCACCCTGCTGCACCCCATCCTGGGCGACGCAACCAAGAAAAAAGACGAACTCCAGTGCAAAATCCTGAAGCTTACCAGCAAGGAGGGGTCGTTGATCGGGTCGTGCCAGCAGCAACTGCTCAACTTACTTTCCGCGTGGGACGTGGGCGGTCCCTCTCGAGACCCTTGGATGATCCTCGATGTTCTCGGGGCCCCTTTGTCCTCGCAGGTTTTTCTGCGATGGGCGAGGGGCCAGCATCTCAGGGCAGGTAGTGCGGTTTTTCGGCGATATGAGATCATTGACGCTTCGCGTGTCCCCCGTAGCAATTCTAGAGCCATCTCAGGGCCCTCTTGGGGCCAGCGCGGGCGCTGACGGGGCCTCATACAAGTCTCTTGGGGCCCTCTCGCGGCGCCATAGCGACACAGTCAACGTTGGGCCCTCGCCCTCGCAGACGGCGCTGCTGGATTCGGTGGAGCCGAATAGAAATAGGCAGCGGCGGGACCATAAGGTCAGCCCCTGGCCGACGAAGCTGCCGCAAGCGAGTCGCCCCCGGAACGAATGCCAAGCGAACGCTTCACGGGATGATTTCGGGGTTTCTTGGGCCCGTCGGAAGCGGAAAGTCGAGGGCGCGGCCTTGTTCCCCAGTAGGCATTGGAAGTGGTTTGTTTTCTTCGTGGGGTTCCGTGGTGGGGCCCGTGGCTACTGGGAGCCGCTGTGAGAACATTTTCGGGGCCTCTTTCGGGGTTGGAGGCAATGCTGAACAATGTTGGGTTGTCATGCCCCATCTTGGAGGTTGTATTGGAACTTTTTTGCGCCCCTCTGGGGACAATCTCGGGCGATCGTGGACCCTCCAACGCATCGCCCCCCTTCCGAACCCACGGCGTGGAGAAGGAGTTGGGAGAAGCGGTTCGGCACGCCACTCGCGCCCGAAAGGGCTATTGGGATTCATTTTTCATCCTGGCCGTATTTGCTCCTCCGCTTGCACCCCGATGGTGGGTATACCCAGGCGCCCGAGGGCACGCAAACTCCAGACACATGTTTTGGGAGCGTGCGTTATTTTAGAAGTACTGGGGTTGGCCATGAGATGATGCTATTTGGGACAACCGTCAACTGTGTACTTGCGCGGCCCCCCCCCCCACCCCACCCACCCGTCTTAGATCCAACCGTGGCAGATGTGGGCCCTTAAGTTTTGAGACGCCAGAACAAACGCATGCTCCCCGAACTATGTGTGTTCGTGCTCTTTTTTTTGGTGAGCTGGAGGCCGACAAGCAGCGCGTCGCCAAGTTGCTCCTGGATGCCCCGAGGCACGATCTTGACGTGTACAGTTTCGGTTTGCGAAGCAGGTTTCCAACAGAGAGGCTTTTGCTCGGCATGGAGTGCGTTGCCACAGTTGCGCACGATTTCGACAACAACCCCGCTGGCATCGACGCGATCGAACGGCTCAATGCACACTTGACAACCAACCACCCGAGGCGAGCCCCAGCTCGCGCTTTCGCCAACGCCGCTCGCCAGTTCGTGATCCATGAGGCCGCAGTCGCGCACATGGCGGCTGGTGGCGACCACCCGTTGGCCACGCGAGCTTATACTTCAGAAGGCCGGGAGTACTTGTGCCAAACGTGCCCTCTTTTGTTGCCCAAGGCGGCGTGCCCCCCGACCGTCGTCGACGATGTTTCTAGCCAGCGCCTTGCCCGCGCTTCGCCGTGCCCCTCGATCATCGACCGCGCGCCCGGCCAGTGCGATGAGTCTCCTTCGTCGTCCACGCAGGCTGTGGCAACAACGTGCATCGCGGACGCCATCACTGGATATGGCCAGCAACTCGAGCAGGATTTAGTTGACGATGAGACATTGTTTTTTGGCGACGCTGTCGAGCTCGCGCGGACAGAGACCACTTTTGCGGAGCCAACTGGCATTCAGACTGACGTCGTGGACGGGCCCCCGCCAAAGAGAGGTTTGTCTCCAATGATGTTAGAGCGGAACGCATATATTCATTCAGTCAAGGTTGCTAAAGGGTCGCCTCTCACATGGGGCGAAATCAAAGCGGCCCGCGCAGCGTTCTCCGAGAGATGGGAGGCGCTCACGCCGGAGGCCCGGGGTGGGTTTGTGGAAGCGTACAATGAGTGGCGCATCGAGACAACAGTGCGTGATACCTTGGAGCTTCCAAAATATAAAGGCATATGGGGAGGCGGGTCAACCTCTTATCCAGTCACACCCGAAGAATTCCATAGTTGGATCGTGCATCACGGATGGCCCAAAGACCCCGAGATATTCGACGAGTTCGCTGAATGCGACGTCAACCCCGACTCCAGTGGACCATTCGCTGATGCTGCTGATTACTTTGTCTGGGGCTCGGGGCGCGCTGCGAGAAATGTCCACAGGTCGCAAGTTCGTTCCGTTCACCAGTTTAACCTCGTTGAGGCTGGCTTCAACAATTTCTTGGAGAGCATCGGCAAGGACGACGCGGAGTCAGGAGAGGTGATGCTGATGGTCGTTGGCGCACCTTTGCTTGCTCCTGATGGCGCTTATCAGCGGCGCTCGTTTGTGGTGTCTGGAATTTCGTGGAACCCGAAGGCGAGAGAGGTCCAGTAACCATCCCCCAATCAGGCTTCTTTCGAGGCCGCCGCGGGGTTCCCGATGCAGCATCGCGGCCTTCTTGGCCGTCTCGAGAATCATGGGGGGTGGGGGGTAGGTGTCGCGGGGCCGTCATGGGCCTTTTCGGGGCCGTCGCGGCGCTTGCCCTGGCCGTCTTGGACCCCGTTGGGGGCCCTCTTTGGGCGTTATGAGGGCATTCCCAGGCCGCCCCGAGCTCCTTGGCCGCCCAGGGCCCCCACAGGCCGTCAAATGCGCCGCGTTTCATCGAGTGGGCTCCAGGGCCGCCCTGGGGCCATCTCGGGGGCCTCTTTGGCCGCGTTGAGCCAGCGGGAAAACTGAAACATGTAAATTCTAAACGCCGCATTATCCCAGTGGACCCTACCTAGGAGATGGAGCCCTTAGGAAAGCAGCATTCGCAGCAACAGTAAAGCTAAGCTAAAGTTAAGCTAAAGCTAAACTCAAGCTAAGCTAACACTAAGCTAAAGCTGAGCTAAAGCTAAGCTGAAGCTAAGCTGAAGCTAAGCTAAAGCTAAGCTGAAGCTAAGCTAAAGCTAAGCTGAAGCTAAGCTAAAACTGAAGCTAAGCTGAAGCTAAGGTAAAGCTAAGCTGAAGCTAAGCTCAAGCTAAACTAAAACTGATATGAAGCTCAGCTGAAGTTTAGCTAAAGCGATGCTGGAGTTAATATAAATTTAAGGTAAAGCTAAGGTAGAGCTAAGGTAAAGCGAAGGTCAAGTTAAGGCACAGTTAAGCTAAAGCTAAGCTAAAGTTAATGTTCAGCGAACGCTAAGCTAAAGCTAAGCTAAAGCTAAGCTAGAGCTACGCTAAAGCTAAACTAAAGCTAAGCTAAAGCTAAAGCTAAAAGCTAAAGCTGAAGCTTAAGCTAAAGCTCCCAGGGGGCTGACGGGACCGCCCCCAGGGGGCCGGGGGGACCGCCCTGGGCGGGGTCCACTGCCCGGCCCCTTTAAGCTAGAGGGTAAGAGCCCTTCTAGGCAGAGCCTGGGTAGGGGATGACGCGACCGAGAAGCTGATTTAACGAGCATCCTCTCGGCGAGCCGACGCGGCCATACAGCGTGGAGGCGAAGCCGCGCTCGGCAACATTGGCGCGGAAGCCGCCCCCATCTCCCTGTGCGCCCCCCCTCTAGTGCCGAGACTGTGAAACGCTTGGCGCGCCATGCGGGACTGGCGCGGGTGGAGCTCCCGCGCTTTGCGCGTCCCGCTCGTGTCGCGGAACCGCCGCGCCTGCCGCGCTTCGCGACGTCGGCGCGGATGGCGCCCCCGCCCACTGCGCGCCCACGCTGGGCCCGAGACGGCGCTGCGCCCGCCGCGTTTTGCGACGGCTGCGCGGATGGCGCACCCAGCCCCCGTGGACCCCGTGGCGTCGAGACGCCGCCGCGTCTTTCCCGCTTCTTGCGACGTCGGCGCGCGTGGCGCCCGCGTCCACTGCGCGCCCCTCTGGCGACGACGAATTGCCGCGACTGCTACGCTCCGCAACATGGGCGCGAGTGGCGCCCCCGCCCCCTGCGCGCCATTCTGGCGCAGGGGAACCTAGCCCCCGCGCCCGTTAGGTCCCCGCGCCCCCCGACATTCGCGCAGCCCCTTGCATCCCCGCACCCGCTCGCGCCCCCGCGCCCCAATGGCATTCATTCGGCCCCCCCCGACCCCCGACGTTTTTGATTGAAGCATATAAATTACCCCCTCCCCCTCCCCCTACCTCTGTAATGGCCGCGCGCTCTCTAATGCCAACGCCCCTAGAACTCACTCGGGAGGCCCGCGCCCCTGTCGCGCCCCACGCGCCTGCAAATGCCCGCGCCCTCATACATGCCCGCGCCCGCCCAAAGCGCGCGCACTTCAATTCCCGTGGATTCCCGCGCCCCCTTGACTTCGCGCGCTCGCGCGAGAACAGGTGCGCGCGCCCCCCGTCGACCGCAGTGGCCATTTGCATTCGTCTAGACGACCTCGGCCACCCTCTTGTCGCGCCCCCCCGACAGCCCCGTGCCCCCTCGGTTCCCGTGCCGCTTCGATTCGTTGGACCCCCGTGCCCGCTCGAAGCCCCGCGCGCCCTTGCACCCGTGCGCCGCCGCGAGTCTCCGCGCCCCCAGTCAAGCCCAGTGCCCCCGCGCGTTCCTTCAGACTCCCGCGCAGCATGGGCGCCCCGTGACTTCCAACATGCTCGTGCCCCCTTAAACTCCCGCGCAATTTTGAATTGCCGCGCATTCTCAAATTTCCGAGTGGCGCCCGAACTTCCTCAACCCGCGCGCCCTCGTAATTCCCGGCCCTGCGCCAGGCAGCTCCCCTGCGCGCCGCTCTTCCGCGCCCCCGTGCTCTTGCATGTTCCGCGGCTCCCATCCAATCACCGCGACCCCGTGCAAACTCTTCAGATCGCCGCACCCCTCGGGCAATCTCGTGTCGCTCTATGCCCTTTGCGCGCCAATCAGTTCCAGCAGTTTCTGGGCTCGCCGCGCGCCCTCCAAGTTCCCGCACGCCCGTCGCGCCATAACGCGCGCGGGCGCGTGTAAATGCCAGCGGGCGCCCCTTGCCCCCCCGACCCCCGCGCGCGTTTAAAATCAAGCGCGATGCCTAAGTTCCGCGCCCACTTCATTTCGGTAGCTCTTATTTCCACCCGAATGCATGGCGCTCTTCAACCCCCGCGCCCCCGCCAATTCTTTGGTCGGTAGAGTTGCCCAGCGCACTCGCCAACCCCCCGCGCACATTTAAACGCCGCGCCCTTTGAATCCGCGCACCCCCATGCCTTCTTCCCGAACCCAGTGTGCCCGTTGATCTCGCGCCCCTTCCAATTCCCTCGCGGCCCGTTGGATCTCCGCAGCTTCCGACGCCCCAGTGCACGTGCATTCGCCGCGAGACCCCCGCGACATCCCACGCCTGCGCCCTTCAAATTCCCGCGCTACTATATCCCCGCACGCCTGTGCACCCCCGCGCCCCGCTGCATTGCCCCAGGCTCTCGCGCGCGCCCCCGCGCCCCCCGGCGCCCCCGCGCCCCTTTTTAATCCCCAGGGCCTCCGTGGATTCACGCTGGCCCCAGCACTCGCCCCCGCCTTTCTAGCAAACGCCGTGCAATGCGCCGACGCGGGCGCGCGCGCGCCCGCGCGCGGTGGTTTGCACGTTGCCCGCAACCGGGAGACCGCTATGCCACCCTGGAAACGACGGTGGGGCCTTAGCAAGTGCCGATTAGATTTCCAGGTTAACAAGCGCTCTTTACGTTCCCACTGTTTAGTGCAGCGCGCAGTGCGCCGACGCGCGCGCGCGGCGCGCGCGTTCGCGCGTGGCAGTTTGTGTTTTGACTGCGACAGGAAGGCAGCCATGTTGCATTGGAAACCAAAAGGAACCCCCAGCGATTGCCGATTGTGCTTCTGGTAACATGCGATCCTTACGAGTCCGCTGTCTAGTGCAGCGCGCAGCGTTCCGACGCGCGCGCGCTTTGGCGCGTGGTGGTTAGCGTATTGGCCGCAATATGAAGGCAACCATGCCGCCTTGGAAGCTACAATGAACCCTCAGCGGTTGCCGATTGGATTTAAATGTGAACATGCGGTCTCTGCGTGCCCGTTGTTTAGTGTACCGTGAAGTGCGCGCGCGTTCGCGCGTGGTGGTCTGTGTACCGACCGCAATGCGGAGGCAGCAATGCTGCCCTGGGAACTAAAGTGGACCCCCAGCGGTTGCCGATTACATTTCTATGTGAACGTTCGGCCTTTACGTGCCCGCTGTCTAGTGCAGCTTGCAGGTCGCCGCGGCGCTCGCGCGCGTTCGCGCGTGGTGGTTTGTGGATTGTCAACAATAACAAAAACAGCCATGCTGCCCTGGAAACCGAAGTGAACCCTTAGCAAATGCCGATTTGATTTCCGCGTTTGCATGCAGTCTTTGCGCGTCCGCTGTGTAGTGCAGCGCGCAGTGCGCCGACGCGCGCGCGCGCGTTCGCGCGTGGTGGTTTGTGTATTGACAGCAATAGCAAGGCAGCCATGCTGCCCTGGAAACTAAAGTGAACCCTTAGCGGTTGCCGATTGGATTTCCATGTTAACATGCGGTCTTTACGTGCCCGTTGTTAAGCGCAGCGCGCAGTGCGCCGACGCGCGCGCGCGCGTTGGCGCGTGGTGGTTTTGTGCATTAACCGCAATAATAATGCAGCCATGTTGCACTGGAAACGAAAGTGAACCCTTAGCGGTTGCCGATTTGGTGTCCATGTTAAGATGCGGTCTTCTCGCGTCAGATGGCTGGTGCAGCGTGCTGCGGGCGCGCGCGGTGGCTTGTGCATTGCCAGCAATAGCACGGCAGCCATGTTGCCTTGGAAACTAAAGTGATGCCTTAGCGGTGGCCGATTCGATTTCCATGTTGGCATGCGGTCTTTACGTGTCCGCTGTCTAGTGCAGCGTGCAGTGCGCGCGCGCGCGCGTTGGCGCGTGGTGGTTTGTGTGTTGACGGCATTAGGAAGGCAGCCATGTTGCCTTGGAACCTAAATTTTGCCCTTAGCGGTTGCCGATTTGATTTCCATGTTAACATGCGGTCTTTTACGCGTCTGTTGTTTAGTGCAGCGTGCGGTGCGCCGACGCGCGCGCGCGCGCGCGCGTTGGCGCGTGGTGGTTTGTGTCTTAGCGGTTGCCGATTCGATTTCCGCGTTAACACGCTGTCTTTACGTGCAAGCAGTTTAGTGCAGAGTGCAGTGCGCCGACGCGCGCGCGTTGGCGCGTGGTGGTTTTGTGGATTGACCACAATATTAATGCAGCCATGTTGCCCTGGAAACTAAAGTGGGCCCTTAGCGATCGCCGATTAGATTTCCATGTTAACATGCGGTTTTTCCGTGTCTGCTGTTTAGTGCAGCGTGCGGTGCGCCGACGCGCGCGCGCGCGCGCGCTGGTTTGTGTAGTGGCCGCAATAACAAAACAGCCATGCCGCCTTGGAAACTACAATGAACCCTTAGCGGTTGCCGATTTAATTTCCGCGTTAACACGCTGTCTTTACGTGCAAGCAGTTTAGTGCAGAGTGCAGCG